CCAGGATTTAGTGACTGGGTACACTAATAATCAGTTGCCCTTTAAAAAGGGGAGTATATAAGATACTGGGAGTATATCAGGTCTCCCTTTAAAAAAGGGAGTAAGGAGAGTATATATTCTCTCTCCTTTCCGTATGCCTTTTTTGTATAATTGAATGCACAATCGACGTGTGTTCGAGAGATGCAGGGTTCGAATCTCGGTGATGGCACTGCACATTTTTTATTTTTCCTGACATCGAAAAATCCTAATGACTGTAAAAAGTCAAATTTTATTGATATGGTGATGGAAAAATGGGGTGCTTGTCTTACCATGCTGTAATGCACGCAAATGAAAGGAAAATACAAGTGTTAAGTCTTGTAAATGGTATCTTTAAAATTTAAAGATGAACATTTCGCTCAGTAATTTAGATAGTGGCCCTAATCTTAATCCAGATATTCGTAAGATTATTTTAAAGTTCCGATACCATTTAACTCGCATTATGCTCTGATGCAAATAAGCATTTTTAGAGGTTTGCATAGTAGAGGAAGATTGAAAATTTTCAGTTTTTATGGAGAAATGAAAAGGAAACAGAATTTTATTTCAGCATTCATAACATCAAAATTCTGTGAATGATAAGTGTTCCTTTCAATGCCATGTGCAGCCCTTTTATTTTGACAGCAACTATACGACTTCATTTAAAGAAATATGAAAGTTCACAAAGCGAAGCTGTCTCTGCATTAAAAGAGCTTTATTTGGATGATTCAATAAACGGATTTTCAACCGAAGAGGCCATATCAGTATCAAGAGATGATAAATTTATTTTGAATGACGTGAGCGGGAATTGGTGACAATGATCTTCTAATAAATTATCCTTATAGAAACATAGAAGAAATCTAAATGGGCTAACGAATGTCATCGAATGAAATAAATATACTATTAAAGGTATTAGGATTAATTTGGGACAATAATTGAAGATACTTCGGAAGTGTAACTGAATTAAATTACAAAATTAAAATATGTGATACCAATAAAACGTGCATGCAGCATGGCTGTTTGATCCTTTAGAACTGATTATGCCATTCACTGTAAGAAGTAAACTGATAATGTATATTATTTGAAGAGAAAGCATAAAGTAGGATGAAAACATTCCGACAGAGTTGGAATCTGTATTTCAAGAGCAGTAATATCAAGTAGCGGAATATGAGAATCTTGCCACACTCCGACTAATATTTTTATGATACCAATATTTATTTTTTCTGGTAATAAAGATCTTAAATAAGATATTAATTCATGGAAAACTGTAATATTGTTTGTCGGTGAGAGTTAAAAAGCACCACCCATATAAGGAAAACATTAAGTATTATACTTATCAACTTCCTTGTGTGTTACAATTCAAACCTAACATTTTCAACACAAAAGAGGTCGACTGACTGGATCAATGAAAATGCTATAAGCTAAGGGGCATGCCTTTTTTCATTACAGTTTACGAAGAATACGTTCCTGGCAAACACTACTCCTAGCTTCTCCTATCGACTAATCACTCAAGTTCACTTAAAAGACTCGAACAGGAGCTTGAATACTACGAACTTCGACGAATGCAAATTAGCGCTAAATTTATACCAGAACAGCCCCCAATCGTTCACTATAATAGACACAACTGTATGAGCTGCCGTTAACTTGTCTAATTTTTACACACTCTTTAGAGCATTTTTAGTTTACATAACCCTTTGGTCTAAATAAATATACAAAAAAGGTTTTTCAACAAAGGAAATTTTTTTAATAAGAAATAAATTTTAAATTTGATTTGCTAAATATTTATTAGAGCATACATAAATAATAATAATAATAACGCAAAGGAAAAAACTATAATTTATATTTATTTTCTTTCTGAAATCTAGAGGTGGGTACCTGCAAACATTTTCTGATCATTACACCTTGTAATTCAAACATATTGACAAGCAAATATAAAGTTTTCAGACATATATATTTTTAATAATTCGAATGTGTTGCATAAACCACTAAGTAACTTACTTTTAGCTTGAACTAAAAATAAAGAGATTACGAAAACTTCCCAAGTGGGACAAAACTTGAGAATAAAAAATGACTCTTTCGTGAATTAAATAATGACTCTTCACAAGTTTCCAAACAGGAATGATTGTTGGAGCTTACATAGCTAGAACTTCGGCTAGAGAAACAGCAAAACCTTCTAGGCGTGCAAGGAAACACAATATCAGCTATTATGACAGCTTACACTAAAGACAGAAAAATGGCATCTTCCAGGTTTAGTGTTCCGAAAGCACAAGTAATCCCAGATAGCATCCCGAATTAGTTCTCCCCATTTTACCAAAACTATCAAAACAGAAGTCTTTACTGTTAAAATTTACGGTAGAGTGACAATTCGCATACTGTTTATGACATAAAGAAATTTGATACTTTATATTTTTTCTTTTAGATACTTCAGTGCACTTGTATATATTCCTTAAAAACATAATATTCTTTCTAAGACAAGATAAGACATTTTCATGGAAATCCTACCAAGAATTCTGGCGAAATTAAAACATTAAAACAACTTTAAAATGCATAAAATTATTTCAAAACACCGTTTGTCCTTTGTTTTAATATTGAACAAAATTTCTCTTCAATTTAAAGCAAGAAAGAAAATTTTATTTAGGCTTTTATTTGGATCAGCACCGACCTTCTTCTTTTGCCCAGTTCCATATGCGGTTCTTATACCAATTTTAAAATTCTTCTTGGCGCTGTTAGGATTCTTTCGGTAGCCGTCTCATGTTTTGATAGTTTTCCTTTTGGTTATAAGTTTCAGGTTACCATTCAGCTGTCATTAGCATACATTTGCTGACTTGACTGTATACAGGCAGAACATAGAAGGCTGTTATGTGATTATTCTTCATCTCCGGATCCTAATCCTCCGCGCTGATACTCTGCCTGTCTTTCGTTTTAGGCTCTGGTCTGGCCTTTCTTTGTTCACCGGTAAAGTTTCATCTTTCCCAGCCATGCCGACTCGCTTTTCTGCATAATAGCCTAAATGTTGTATTTTCAGGCATTTTCCTCGACCTGTTTATTTGAAATACATTATGGTTTTTGTTGAATTCATGGTTTCTTTTATTCATCGGCGCTGGTGCTTACTATTTCCATGTGTATTCGTACGTGCCATTTTGGCCATTCTACCTTCTGCATCAAAAGTATTCACTTTTTCCATAACTCTCTCTTACTTGTATACTCTACTCTTTTTTCCCTACTTTTGTAATTATCTCATCTTCTAGAATCCTTTTTCTTAATCGTCTTAGTACATACACTTTTTGTTTGATGTAATGCCCTATCTGGCTCACCTATCCTATTTATTTCTCTGTGACATCTTCCTGCACACCTCTGTTATCCGGCATCCTTATCGATATGATCGGTTTTTCTAGTTGATCCAATTACTTTAAAAATGGTATGTTGAAACTCTTCTGATCTAACCGTGGTAGAGAACTCTCTGAGAATTTGTTAGCTGAGCTACGTTTGTGGTGCTTGTCTGCCCCCTTCTATAAGTAAGGAAATTCGTATGAAATGGAATCACAGAAATTTCTGTTTCAGTAATATTCTCAAGTAAAGAAATTTTGAATTTAGACTACCTGCAAAAATTTTGAATTTGGAATAGTTACAAAAGTTTTAGTTAATATATTATTGCCATAAACGAAGTGTCCTGTTATTTTTGTCCTTTGGTAAAATTCCATATATGAAATTTAATAACATGTAAGAAACTGTAATGTAGAAGCAGCATTAACTATGCACTGTTCTTTCGTAATTTATAAATTACAGAAAAACATATTCAATAGATAAAAAGTACCAAGAAATGCTTGAATGTAATTTCTAAGAATAGCTAAAAACGTAAAACTCATTTTACTATCTAATTGTCTTTTAAAACTGATAATACAGTGATAATATTTTAAAATACAATCTAAAATACACATATCTCTATAAAAGATTATAATATTCAAAGAATATTAAGCGTAGTACAATAAACGTTAATTCCGCATCAAGGCATTAAAATAACAAATAAGTTTATACTACTTATTAAATAAGACAAAACTAACAGTTCTTCTAATCGAATTAATTTTATTAACAAAAATAAATAATAGCTTTGATCAGTAATTACAAATTATTATCTTCAAATTATTATTTACAACAAGCGTACAACTGTTGCAATAAGCAAAGTCTAAAACATTTCAGCTACAATTTTCATTATATCAAAATTTATCGACAGAAGAAGTAATTATGATATAGCAAATCAAATTTTATGTTAAATAAAACTCATATTTTTATACGCATGAAAATGAGTATATTAAAATACAAAGAAAGACATTTTATTTTACGCACAAGTAGTATTAAATTACTTCACTATTTAATCTGTCTTCTGTTAGAAATAAATAAGTTTATTTACTTATAAGGTATTTTCTCCCTCCTTTCTGCAAAACTTCGTGGTATAACTGGAAGCATACTCGACGCGCATTCGAGAGGTCTAGGGTTCGAGTCCTGTAGAGGGCATTGCTTGTTTTTTACGTCTCCAGCAACAAAAAACCTAATGATTCTACACACTCTTCTTGAAACAAAATATTTTGTACAAAAACTGGTTCTCTTTCACTAAATAAGAATTATCTACTAATGTGTGGCTATGAATAAAATATCAAATTACTTTCCGTATATAAATGTTATATATATATAATTATGATAAAGAATAAAATTAAAAAACGTACCTTCATTAATATGCGATAGAAAATTAATTATACTTACGAACATAAATTGATAAATATCACAACAACTTGTTGGAAAACATAGATATCATATAGCTGATAAAGATTTTTTAAACCACTAATATAATTGAATCCATACATGGGCAGTTTTTTTGCGTCTTCTTAAATAAAGAAACACAATAATTTAGCTATTTTAATTAGATTATTTGCGTTCGAGAAACTGACTTCCCACATCATATTCAAAATGGTGGTTTTTAAGTAGGGATTGTGTCAAATTAAATTATTTATAATGAAAGATTGAACTTCTGTTCCCAGTTTTGGATGTTCTTTCAAGAAAACAGCCCACTTTTCAGTTACTATGATTGCTTTCAAGTTAAAGAAGATATACGACATAATATCCATTTTCATTTCGACGTCATTGTGCGTATCGGCTAAAATCAAGGCTTCTATAGCAGTTGAAATTGACAGAAGAGAAATAATAGCTTGCCGACAAAAGGCTTTAAGTTCCAAGATGGCGTATTTATCTGCTGCAGCATACAGGTCACGGGCTGTGAAATAACTCAGCTCATTTATTTGACCGGTGTATATAAATAATACGAGTTGCTCCGCGACACTTTGATTGACATCGCTCATGATTATTCTATTTTCGGTACTTTCGGTGAACATCCGAGCAAATTCTGGTGACCTTGCAAAAAGGATTAACTTGTGAGCAGGTATTTCCAAATTTTCGCTGACAAGAACTACGTCGGATAAATTTCCTTGCTTGTATATTGCTTTCAAGTCACTAGATAAGCTGAACAAAGAATCTACATTGAGTGCTGACGTTGGTTTCCAGGGGCTATTAGGATTCTGGAATTCATAATCTGGTTGCGCTGACATCTTATTTTCGTTCTTACCTTCATTTAACTCATTTACAGCATAAAGTATGAAAATTAAGCTTGATAAAATGATCAGAAAGTAATTTTTATATTCATCCATTATGCGACTATATTTACTATTACCTTGGTTAAGTAGTCGTATTTAGTATGCCTGTTAATTTTAGTGTCTCATGTAATGTACGTCTGTTAAAGTACATTTGCCAAAAGACAGTTTTATCAAGTGAAATATTGCATTCTATATAGAATTCGTTGACAGGCTTGGAAGCTAATGTATACGTATGGCGGGCTTCTTTAAAGATGCGCTCAAATTATAATTTCTAACTTGTCGTACGCCTTGTTTGAACTCTCATACAAAAAACATGCAGTTGCAAACGACTGCGGATTCTAATAAGCAGTTTGTGTTGAGCAAAGAATTAAATCCTCGATGTGATATCACTCTAATAAAATAAAATCGGTACCGTTTGTAGATAGATACATTTCCTTAGAGACTATCTTACTTGCGTAGCAATAATCTGTAATCTAAACATTTTTTTGTTTTTGCTTTGCTTATTTTATCTTCATTTTAAATTCTGCTCAACATTTTGCTTGCAAGAAAATTACTCGTATATGTTCACATATTTGCTGATAAGACAACTGTTAGTAGTCCGAATACTTTTATTGTACCTGAATATTATTTGATTCAAAAAATAACAATTAACCAAATCAAGGCTTCTATAACGGTTTCTTCAGTTTTCGTACTACTTCATTACTAAAACTCTTTTTCTTACTATGCGTTAACGGATTCTATTGAAAGTAACCCGTTAGGCAGGAATCTGTGTTGGTTACTGACGAATATTAATTCTATAGTATAAAGATTGATACTAGCACTACTGTTAAATGCTGATATGTTAAGACTATTAAATGCGCAATGATTCATGTAATAAATGCGCGTGTTATTTCTGCATACATATTCATATAATTATATATATTTGTTATCGTGTTCCAGAGGAGGAGCAATTATAATTTTCAAAAGGGTTAGAGTAGGAGTTTACAATGAAAAAAAAAATTCGGATTTAATAGAATTTCATTATGTAATCATTTTGTAAAATAAGCACATGTTTTCCTTTTAAAAGCGTATTTGTGTCAATACAGCATCAAATGATCAGCATTTATGACAACTTGATTCAAACGTCAAAGTATAAAAGACGAACAGGTGCACTTTATTTTACTTTTAAGTGCATAAAATCAACTTATTATTTTACTTAGGTGGAACACTTGACTTCAAACTAATTAAAAATAATTAAAATAATTTTAAAATAATTTAGCTAGTTCATTTATAATCAAAACAAGGTGCTACGTAGGTTCTGTGAGGTTTTATTCCCTCAAACAGACGCAGAAATAAAATAACCTCTAAATTTATTCTATCTCACCACTCGCGATGGATTAAATTAAAATATACAACGGAAAATTATTAATCACCTGGACCTGGTTTAAGCACCAGCTTTTCTCATTCTGCTACAAATTCAAAACGTTTAATTTAATCGTATCAAAGATTACAAGTTTCGCCTACATCGCGACCTATTTTTGGACTACACCAATTTAATTCAAGACCAGTGTGGGAGTCGCCAGCATATAACAAAACTTTACACGGCAGCAGATCGGTAGATCGTCGGTTGTGTAGCGAAGTCATCGGTGCGAAGACCTTTACTCACATATTTTACATTACCTCGAAACATAAAGTTCGTGAAAATCCGCTAAACGGAAATGCTTCGAAGGATAAGGCAATAATGATATGACAATTAAATTCCACATGGCAGATGAGTTCATCGTGGCAGTTGAAATCTTCATGGCAAAAGCAATTATTGTGTACGGAGAATCAGCATCCCAGGAACAGTTGATCTTGTAGTAAAAAATAAAATAAGCACCTTAAAAATCATAAAATGAGTATAGGATGAAAAATAATTAAAAAGCAATAATATTTTCAACTCCCAGTGAATTTTTGTAAAAGAGTCGAACTCGCTATCTGTTGGGTGAAACGAGCGGTGCAATGACTTAACCCGCTCGGCTACCAAGGCGTTAGAGAGAAAAATGCAGTTTTTCTTATAAATGATGAATTTTATATAGATGAATATTGAAGAGCCTGAAATGCAAATTCAGTTTTGTCTTCTCATTCTGTATAGCATTGAATTTAATGTATAACTCTTTCAGTTTAAATATAAGCATTCTAAATTCATCAAAACGGTTTATTAAAATTATTGAATTTTTCTGATTTAGAATTTTCTTTTTGCTTTTCAGTGACTGCATCTGCATAAGTTTTATTCCCTGTGAATTTAGAGTTAGAAGGTTGTTCTGAGCAGTTCCTTAAATCCCGGAAAATCTTTTTAAAGATTATTAGAGTCTTTCTTTTCATTTTAACTTTTGTTACCTGGTCTCTCAGGGCTTTCGACACTGCTCGCAGCGTGAGAGCCAGCGCATAGGACACACTTCTCTTTAATTTCCTTTTCCCTTTGATATAGGACATTCGTTAAGAGTTGTGCTGATCTAAACAGCGAACGCATCTAGGTGTATTAAAACAGGCGCGTTGAGTGAGCCATAGCACTCGTAACATTAAACTGGACCTGGCTGACTTCTATAGCCTGTGATGCAAACTTTCATATCGGAGATATGCAATATTTCAAACACCTGCTTTCTTTTAGGAGTTCTGTGCGTTTCTACATAAACGACTGGGAGCGGAGTGGGAACACAGCCCCTCATGCCAATTAGTTGATGACATTTTAAAACTTCAGTTACATGACTTTAAGTTTCTTCTTTAATTTTTTTCTATCGGTATATCAGTAGTAAGTCCTTTGACTACAGCTTTTAAGTTCTTCCGATGATTGAGGAGACATGTACGGAATGGAATCTTTTCGTTTTCGAACTTAGCTTGTACTTTGCGAAATTCGTCAGCATTAAAAAGTTAAAATTTTTAATTTTCTCCGTGTACTTTATTTTCCAGTTTTTCTACTTTAAGAATCTCTTTTCTAATCTGACGCCAGCAAATAGTTTTCTGCGTTATGACAAGGGAAGGAATCTTCCTCTTGGAGTCTCGAACATATTTCTTATCTTTAGACTGTGATGGCACCTTAAAACCATGGTTTTCCATTTCAGCGTCATCAAGACTTAGGTACTGATAGGTTGCGAGACTATTGATGATCCGCTATCTTTTCTCGAGCGTTTTGAACGCTTAACAGTTGTCCGGTCATTATCAGCTTTTTGTTTTTTAGAATCTTCGGTGCGTTGAGCGGCTTTCTCAAGTGAGGGAATAACTTTTTTTTTCAATTAAGTTTCCTAGTTCATGGAACTTCGAGCCATGTTTAAGCATCTTTTGATATGAGTCGTTGAGGTCGCGCTGCAAAATTCCGAGCATTCCAGACTTTTCCTCGTTAGGTTTGTAGAAACATTAGGTATTTTTTGAAGCAAGAGAGATTGAAAAATTTGCAACGCCTTCACCGGGAATCGAACCGCGACCTCTGGAATACTCGCCCAGCGTGCAGACCACCACACCACCAAGGCATGCCAAGAAGGCGGGAGAAATACCTTATAGATTTTAGCGTCTTCTTCAAGAGTATCAATATTTCGTTTTAAATCCAAAATTCGAGCTAAATAGGCACATAATTTTCCGTTTCGTGTAAAGGCTTAGAATTTCCACCCGAAGGTGAAGCGATAGAGTCCAATTCATCTTACTACGTTCAGCTGGCTAATCGTGAGAGGAGGAAAGAGAATACTTACAAAACGAGAGCAGAAATTTTTTCGAACTATCTTCAAGAGCATAAATGTTCGAAGATGTAGAATACAAGGCAAAGAAATTGCGACTTAAAAGCCAAAACTCTCGGTAAAATCCTAGTATACGGTACGGCCTTGGCGCGATTTAAAAAATTGTCGCCAATATCAAAATGACGCATTTACTGCTCATTATAATGTCGCGAAACGTCGCCAAATCCCATGTGCACTAGGATTGTACCAAGCTCTCAAGTACAGCTATTCGTAACTTTTCTAACTTTATAATGAAACTGGTTATTAAGCAAATCTACATAAATTCTGGAATGAATGATCTTTGGGGTGAAATAAGGCAGAAAGGAAAGATTTAAATTAAATAATATTTCATTAGTAAGATATAAATTAGTAATCATTAGTAAAACATAAATACCAAAAGATTGACAAATTTAATTATGACCTAAGATAGTAATACTGCCAAGTATGGACCAATACGTTTTCTTGAAAAATATGCTTCCATCATTTATATCGTTAAATTAAAAAAGGGATTAAAACTAGAAACATGCAAGTATTATGTCTCAAGTTGGGAACGTGTACCCCAGGCAGTACGGAATGTGATACATGGCGGTACGCCAAAGAAGTAAGCTTACAATTACTTGCGAGTGTATGATCGTGTTATATTATATTACATGGAGTAAAACTAATAATTATTTTCGTCTCGGTAGGCAATCAAAAAATTTGAAGATACCTGCGCTAATCAACGAAAAGAGAAACTATTTGGTTTATCTGAATAGAAGTGTTTTGAGTCTGAATTTTCCAGAAATATAAAACGTTTATATTTTGAAAACGGCAAAAAATAATAGAAATTAATGCACAGAATCACGTTACCAAAGCCTGCACATTATTGCACAATTTATAAGCAAAATTATTTATATGAAATGTATTGTGTGTATTAAAAGTTATATTAGGTTTTAATATGTTCTAAGGTTTTACCATTATTTCAAAGATTTCATGCACTTGTTAAAAAAATTATATTGTCTAAACATTAAGTTGTGTTTCTGGATTCTCTTAAATTTAAAAGAATTTATTGGAATTTCTAGCAATTTTACCTTTTAAGCAAAAATTATAAGGAATTTTTAATGTAATTACCGTATATTCCGGCTTATAATGTACAATTTTAATACAAAATTAAAATCGGAATTTACGGGTGCGCTTCATATGCCGGATATAAAGTGATAAACTTAAGAAAAAGATCATACAAAAATTAGGTTTCCACATGTATCTAAATCCTAATAATTTACAAAAAAATGACATACCTTATGAATTTAAAAATTTTCACTATCGGATAACATGAAAAATTCTTCATCT